TTCCAAGTAAATTGTCTGTTCGGAACTGATTGCAAGACATGGACCTTGTCAAACGTGAACTGGTTTCGACCTAGGTTGGTGCACAAGAAAACAAGTTTGTTTTATTTTAAACTTCCTTTTGCACCGTCCACTTCACTCGCCCTCGGTCCTCCTTCTCAGCTCAGTAATGGCGCCAATTGCCGCGCCCCAACATTTTCTGCACTACTGCTGGTTCATCACCGTCTCTCACCTAACTCTCATCGCATGACTTCAGCTCATTCTCGGGTTCAGTTTGCTCCCTCAGTCTGCGGTCAGATATGTTCCCCTATATAGTGCACACATAGACCAATCCATATATTGTTACAAATATTCTTGCCTATAGGCTTGTGTGGTGCGAAATCATCTAACTCAGCATTCCCGTAGCTCTTTCTGAGTTCTCGGGTTGTTCGTGGGGTAAAATTTCTGCACCGTCCCTGTTTTAACTGCTATTTACATTAAACAAACCATTAATTCATCACCCAAATTTCATTTAAAACACCCTTTCGAAACTGGTTAAATATGTATCAGTACTACTGGTATAACATGAACAAACGTGCCAGGTAAATATAACAAAGAATATACACCTGAACATGTATTGCCGTGTGCAGGTGTGCCATGCGGGGGATGGCCACATAACCGGTGGGGGGAAACACATCTAGTGTGTGTGTTGTGTGGGTGTGTGTGTGTGGTGTGTGTGTGGTGGTGTGTGTGGGTGATGGTGTGCTGTGGTGTGTGTGGTTGTGTGGGTGTGTGTGTGGCGTGTGTGTGTGTGGTGGTGTGGGTGTGGTGTGTGTGTGTGTGTGTGGAAACACATCTAGAGTATGTGTGTGTGTGTGTGTGTGTGTGTGTGTGTGTGTGTGTGTGTGTTTTATCTGATCCGAATGGTTACTATTTCCTTTTCTTTATGGCGGTAATTTTGGACCGGGAACACAATGGGTGTTACAAAGTTGACTAAATCATCCACAATTCAATGAAAGTGGTGATCAGCGATTTGATATGTTCAAATATCTACTGTGAAGGATATCACAAAGCCTTAATGCAATCGAATGTAAAACAAAAAAGTTATGATTGATGAAAGTAGTAAATCGGTCAGATTTGACCCGAAGACAACAGGAGGGTTAAACAAATAGATAAATATGATAATAAAAGGAAAATGTTACAAACAAATCCCCAGATGACATGTTTTTATATCATTTGATACTCAAATTTGACTGGTTTCAGGGAAGCTCAGCCTCACAGAGAAATGTTTTATCCACTCAGTAATGAACAAAGGTGCTGCAGTTTTATAGTAGAGACTCATGTCTAGTTTAGTAATGATTTAAAAACAGTAGATGTGTGTCTCAGGGGGTGTTGTGTGATACCTAAAACGGTGATGTGGAAAGGAGGGTTGACCTTTGGTTGTTTGTCGAGACCATGATCGATAATGTTTTTAGCATTATTGGAGTGTAATACTGTTGCAATTGCAGAAAGGTACACCAGTATAGGATTATAATGTATTAAAATAACAAACATTACAAATAAAATGTGATGGATTTCATAACTCAAGTACGTTTTAAAGGGCTGATAAACGATTTATCATACAGAGATTAATTGAAACCATTGAAAGCTTGGAATGGTTGAAAACATTGCAAATATCGAAAAGCACAGCAGCATGGTTTGCAAAATGTGTATACATGGTATGAAACAACATGCTAAATCCCTGAAGAATGTATACCACACAATGTGTACAGGAGACAATGTAAAAGGATTGTTTAGTATCGTTAGCACAAGAAAGAGTTATGGTCTGGGACGGGTTTGGATTATTATGGATGCCTTTAGAGTCAGAAACACACACATCAAA